CGGATTCTTGATCACATCCATGTGAATCTTTAACATATCTTGTGCTTTGCTGACCGTCTTTGGATAATAATCCACTTCCCTGCAGTAGTTCGTCTGAAGATCCAGCATCAGAGGAGCTGTTCTCATTTGATCACAGTTGCACAGGAATCCTGTTGCAAGAACTGCTTCAAAGATGCCATCCTTGAACTTGTCTTTAGCAATAGTATTGGTGCTAGCAATAGCAGCATACGCTTTTGTCTTGACTGCAAGATTTCAGAACCAGGCAACGCCATATAGATCTTGCAGGACTTCAGCCTGTCTCAAGAATTGTTCCTTGAAATGCATCAAGTTTTCGGTTGTTCCTTGCTTCATAGCAAAGAGCTTTTGATTCGCTTCCCAGAAATCCAAGAAGTCATACTCAGCATCAGCACTCTTCTTCATGAATCGTTCAATACGTTTCAAAAGTTCGATTGGATCTTCAAGAGTAGTCGTGAAATTGGCTTCACCTCAAAGCTTGATATCCATCGCCTTTGTCACAAACTTCAGCATGATGTTTGATTTGACAGTTCTCTTGTTTGTTTCGAAGTAGGCTGATTTTCGCATGTTCTCGTCGAGCTTTGCAGAATAGAGAATCTTGTTTTGAGTCATCTCTGTTTCTCTTGCAACAGCTTCAGTTTGAGTTGGAGCGTTCAATCTTGGAGCGATTGCATTGAAGTCGATTGACTTTCCATGAAGTCAATTGACTTTCAATCTCGAATTGATTTCACCATGTCTTTGGAACATTTCATTCCAGAAGCTTGGATGTAGTCAATCACTCTTTCTTCCGCATCTTCGTACGACAATCTTGCCTTTCCATCGTTTTCATCTTTTGTTGAAAATAGACGTTTCACAACTGTTGAACTCGAATTGCTCTTGACTTTCTGAGGAGTCACACGTCCCTTTCCTCCACCGGAAGAAGAACGTCCCATAGTCAACAAATCACTCACTCCTTTGTAGATAAGGCAGTGCTGTTCTTAACAGTCCGTCCGCCGCTCAACAGGACATCTGTAGGGAGAAGACTGATGATCCAAAACCCCATACATACATATGATCAAAATTTCCCCAATACAAATGTCTTAGCTTAGGTCCTTGGCTTTCATCCTATTGGGTGAGCACCTCTGTGCTATGCTCTAGTGGGTCGCTTCAGCACAATGTTATCAGCTCCTTTTGATTGCTATCCAAAGGATCCATTGACATTTTGCACTAAAGCAGCTCTCTAGAGCATAGCAGAGAGGTGCTCACCCAATGAGAAGAAAGCTAAGGACCTAAGCGAAGACATTTGTATGCAGAAAATTTTGATTGTAGGTCTGTATGGGGTTAAAAAGCTTGGATCAGCAGTCTTCCGACAAATTAGTATGAAAATGATCTGTTGAGCGGCGGACGGACCGTTAATGTATATTTGTTTTGTTGCCTTTTGTGATTGAATGTTAGAATAAAGCAAAATGTGCTCTATTGTGAGTGCCTTTAGCGCTCAGAACAAATTCTCTGCAATCTAAATTTGTAATCGACTATACAACACTTTCACGACAATAGTTCTCCTGTGTTAGGTATACTTTGAGTGAAATTGTTCCTATTTGATTAATGTTTGCCTTGAATTGATGATTCAATCACAAAAGTGAGTTCAACGATTTTCCCTTGGAAAATCCCTTGTTTACAGAACTCGATTCGACTTCTACGACAATTCTGTGTTGAATGCAGTACTTTGGGACATCTTGCATTATTCCCTACTGCATCGTACACAACATCAATATTCCACTTGTATAGGATCTTTTCCTTTTTGTGTGGATACAGATTGTCTGACAGACTTGCGTCCGGCATACTTGCGACGAATCCCGGCATCACGATCAAAGTCCGATCGCACGTGTCGAAAACTTTGTACTTGAATAGTTTTGTTTGGAACATAAAAACTCATATTTTGTCATATCCCAACATTTGGGGAAGCATGTCATGATAGAAGCACAATAGTTCAAGTCGCCTAATTTGTCTGGACACATCAGTTTTCATAGACTTCCTGCAGGCGATCAACTTCAGAAAACGGCTTGCGCTGTTCCTTGGATTTGCGCCGGCTGACATCTTTGTGATAAAATCGTCCACAGAATTCTTGAATTGCGCGGCAGTGCGATGGGTCACGCTCGTTTCAATCACATTCCATTCGTTCAAGGCTTGACCGCCCAGATGTAGTCAAAAGAGCGAGAACTTGAGGTTGGCAATACCAGCTGCGTTACCAGTGATCTCCCATTGACAGCAGAGATTCTTGAATGAGATGTACATCCTGCAAAAAGGTTCCAAATTGCTGCCTTTTCCAAGGTAAAGTGGAACCTTGGCTTTGCGTTTGCCACCATCTGCGCCAGGAAGATGGAATACAATCTCAGTGAGAACGTCCCTATTGTTTTCAACGTAGGTAAATGGTGAGTCAGTTGCAAGAGAAGTCATAGTGATGTATTTTCACTTCAAACGCTTCAATCAAGATGCAACAAAGTCAAATACGTAGCAAATGCAATAGCAATAGTTTGTTGCCACTCTGCAGAGTGTATCTCTTCAGTAAAAGCCTTTGGCTATTCGAATAGTGGCCCAACCTTCACAGAAGAGTCACAGAGAAAATTGTGGATGTCTATAGAGATGCACTTCAAAGTGCTTACGTGGACCTTTTGACTAAGGTCTAGTTCTGTACCCAACCGAAGGAGCTTCTACAGTCCCAATACCTTGGGCCTGTTCTATGGGCCGTTTCAAAAATGCCCCTTTTGGTTCTCAACTATTTATGTACGACAAGATGTTGAAACGGCCCAACGAATAGGCCCAAGGTATTGGGACTCTAGAAGCTCCTTCGGTTGAGTACAGAACTAGACCTTAGTCATCAGGTCCATGTAAGCACTTACGAGTGCCTTTCTACAGACATCTATAATTCTCTCTTTAACTCTTCTGTAAAGGTTGGGTTAGATGTTCATATATATGAGAAGTGTCTTCTTTGTTTATTAGTCATTTTGCAAGAAGGAACCATGAGGAATTCTAAAGTCATCGATCTGCCAGGTGTTCCAGCGTTCTGCGATGATTCTAGAGATTTGCGTGGAAAAGTGATCAACAATCGCTTTTCTCACTGCATGTTTTTTACCTGAATTGATATCCATCATCTCGTAGAAACTAGTCAACTAAAAGGCTTATTGTCTATTTTCATTTATTTTTGTCAGATTAACAGTCGCAGTTTCGCCTACAGCTAACTGTCGCGATTTCCCCATCAGAAATTGCCCAATCAGAAGACGAAAACACAACAACTCGCGGATCGGATTTCACAGCGCTTTCGCAAGTTACTGAGCTTCCATCAAGCTCATATTCTCGCAGTCGTTCACACAGCTGACTGCAGCGATTTTTCTACAGAAATTCGCCGATCTCGTCTTCCATCAAAGACGAGGACAATCACCATTTTGGAATTCGTCTTCCCATCAAAAAGGACGAACCACACAACAACTCGCGGATCGATTTTCAGCGTTTCGCAAGTTCTTAGGGTTCCCATCAAACCCATCCTCTACTACCGTTGGAATTGAATAATTCTTTGGTTTTTTTTTGAGTGAAGAACTTGTCAACGATTGGCAACTGAGAGATTAACCTCCAGAGTCATACACATGAATCGAGAGAGTTGATCCGTTTCGTGTCTCAAACGCGTACTCGAAGGATCTTTTATTTGATACGCTTCTCTCGATCCATTTTGTGTCTCAAGCGCTTCTCTCGATCCGTTCCGTGTCTCAAGTGCGTGTTCAAAGGATCTTTCATTCAATACGCAACTTCACCTATCTCTGGTTTTCTCTTTCTTTGTTATTTTAAATCATAATCTTTACTCCACATCATTACAACAATATATTCACAGCAACGAGTTATTTTCAAGTTTTGGTCCCACTACGACTTGGAGTTTTTTCGGCTTATTGTGGAGTGTTGGCATTGAGCGGCCCTATCGCCCTTGCCATTCGATTTGGAGTATTTTAATTCAAGAGAGCGCTGAGTCTTGCCAGCTCGTGCTGCCCCTGTTCACCTCCTTCTTGCTGTCAGGAGTTTTCAAGGGAGCAAGGGATTCAATTTCTCCTTTTGATTGAATAGCTTCTGTGGTGGAAGTCTCAAATGGGAGAGATCACCTTCTTGGTGCAAATCAAGAAGTAAAACGATCTGGAAAGGGCAATTGTGCGCCCAATCCCGCAGTCACATCAGGAAACAAACCTTCAGGCGTGTTGTTCTATTTTACTTCAAACATCCTCAGACTCCAACCAGTCAACTGATCTTCTGATCAGCTAAGTCGATTGAGTTCCATTCCTCTGAGTAGAGTCAACTCCGGCATGGTCCGGATCGGTCAACGAGAATTGCAAGCTCTGAACATTGACACCAACACCACTCAACTGCCCGCCACTAGTACTACTCAACCATCAGGCACACGAGTGACAATGTCCACTGCTGGCAACTCAACAACAAACCGCAACCCGTCTCAAGTCCTACAACCTGGACATCTTGAACATAGTCTTGTGCACATCCTGGAAACTGTCTTTGGCTACAGTGCTGGCAGTATCCTTCATCTCGCACTTGACTTACACGGTTGCAAATGTTACCTAGCCCTTGTTGGCATGGATGATGCTGATATTGACGGACTACAGTATCCTGTCAGTCAGCCATGTGATGCTAACGGTGACCCACAACCTCATGTACTTTGGGATGTGCCAAAACCTCTTAAGGCATATCTCCATGGGATCCATGGCTACATCTACCACCGGGAAACTGTGCTTAAGGATCCAGTCACCCTGACTAACTGTATCCTCATTGACCCTGATGATTTTGATACATACAGGGCCTCCAGCGCATTCATTGTGTTCCGCAGCCGCACCATCCCACAGCCTCTTGTCTCCACGCCATCTCGACGTTCACCAGCTGAGGAATTTGATCGGGGCATTGATCTAGATGCTATTCTTTATCCAACTTTGTCCAATAGTAGGCAATGGGATAGTCATCATGGCAAACGTCTCACCTCTGAAGAGGAACATCCTCAATACCCTAGCCTTGCTGAGCCTTTTGTCCCTGATCTTGCATCAGTTGACCTTGGGCCTGAAGGCAAACATGGTACCCTTGACAAGGAAAATTCCCAGTACCCTCGTCTTGTTGAGCCGTTTGTTACTGATCTTGCATCAGTCGACCTTGAGCCTGATCCTGTTGTTGACCTCAAGACCAAAAGCCGACATGGTACCCTTGTTCTCTAATCAGTCGACCTTGAGCCTGATCCCATTGTTGACCCCGAGAACAAAAGCCGACATGGTACCCTTGACAACGATCATGTCCAGTATCCTTGTCTTGTTGAGCCGGTTGCTACTGATCTTGCATCAGTTGACCTTGAGCCCGATCCTCTTGCCTACCGAGCTTGTCTGGCATCTTTGGCAACACTTCCTTGCAAGACATCTCTTTGCACTGCAAAGTTAGAAGCTGCTGGTTCCAACAATCAGCCTCCTGCGCAACCACCTCCATCCCCCCAACATTCTGTCAACTTACATGAGATGTCGGCTACTACCAATTTTCTCTCACAGTTCCAGCACTCGAGCATGGGGAGGAGTGAAGATGCAGATACTCTGACTTCTGTAACAAGTGAAGAGACCAAATCAGACAAGTTGGCTCTGGTCCAAGCAACCAAGTATCGTAAAGCTACTCAAGAGGTCAAGAATTACGAGATAGCCATAGATGGAGTTGATGTTGATGAATGGGCCAAGTCTGTACCGGATGATGGGTCTGCAGGTGAACAAAGTCCATTTGATAGAGTGGACATCCTTACTAAGAGTAATACAACAGTCACTACTCTGAAGGATTCTCCTGCCTTAGATGATGCTATTGGTTTCTTTGAAACTCATCACTGTGTCATGCCAACAAATGGTCTGTACAAACTACATCCTGGACAAGCTTCTGATCTTGATTGGTTGGAATGTAACATGGCTGGTCTATTTGATTTAGACCCTGTCCATGTGCCACAACTTAGACCACCAGATTTTGAAGCTTACAAGTCAGGCAGGCAACCATCTGTTCTGTTTGTTCCTGAAACGCCTATCAACTTTGTCATTGATTCTACTCCACTGGGAGACAAACCCATAGACTTGACTTGCAAGTTGTCATCCTCTGAACCTCGACACAGCCCACCAGATGAAGGTTATGTTCGAGGTGCTAAGATCATTGAGCTTAACTACAAGCACAATCGCAACAGGGACATTCAGCCTGCACGTATTCAACTATGCCTGAACATCAACAGTGGTGAATATGAATGTGTCATGGCTTACCATAACATCCACAAGTGGTCAGAAATTGGTGCAGACAACCCCATTGATTGGAAGCTCAAGCGAGTTGTGTGCCACCATCACTACATTTGACTTGAACACCCTTCTTACCTGGGTCTGGATGGAAACATGGCGAGAATACCCCAGAACCACTGAGCATCACTGGAGCCGATGATTCAGTGACCTACACTATACATGCTAGAAATCACAACCTGTTGGAAAGTCAAGGTTGTAACCTTCTTGGAAATATAGTCAAGGACAAGAAGAAACTGCTTTGTCCAACTAATCAAGTCAAGTTGAGATTGCTACACACTACTTCACCAAAGTATATGTACTACTACAAGATCCAGAAGGACCACAATGGTGTCCTACAACTTGACAAACTCCATGGCAACACCAACTGCAAACACGCCACCAAAGTCAAGATAGATCTGCTCGCAAGGTACAAGGTCCTTGTGGATATGGGGAGAGGAATCCCAACACCAAAAGATCACCAAAAGTTCCAAGTCCCACATGTCAATGCCATTAAACATTGTGACAAACACAAGCCCAGACTCCTACCTTATGGTGACTTTACCTACATACCGCCAAACAAAACAAAACCCTACTGTCTATTGACAGACTAATTGGTTGCTGGTATAATCCGTCATATGATGAATGGAACCTCAATCAATTTCTTCTCTAAGGAGCAGTCAACTGTTGGGACTGCAACTTATGGTTCTGAGTTTGTAGCCACTCGAACCTGTGTCAAACAGATCATGGATCTCCAACAAACCTTGAGGTACCTTGGTGTGTCGATCAGAGGTCAAAGCTACATGTCTGGTGACAATGAATCTGTCATGAACAGTTCTTCCCAACCTGAAGCTAAGCTACACAATCAACATGTTGTGTTGTCATTCCACCGTGTGAGAGAAGCAGTAGCAGCTAACATGCTATCTTTTATCCACATTGACAGTGCTCTCAACCCTGCTGATATTCTCAGCAAACATTGGGGTCATCAGCAAATCTGGACACTTCTACCAACTCTAATGTTCTGGTCTGGAGATACTGTTGATCAAGAGGACTAGGTCCTCACTTCGTCCCATTTGGGGAGTGACATAATTCTAACCGGAACCGGACTTGTGACTTGACCTATAGGATTCCCAGGTTGAAGTGTAGCTTGTACGTTGCACGCTTTGCACGTGCACAAACCACTACACGCCATTAATTTAGCATAGAGAATGCTGAGTCATCAGCGTTCTGCGATAATTCTAGAGATTTGCGTGGAAAAGTGATCAACAATCGCTTTTCTCACTGCATGCTTTTTACCTGAATTGATATCCATCATCTCGTAGAAACTAGTCAACTATAGGCTTATTGTCTATTTTCATTTATTTCTGTCACTCAGAAGTTTCCAGAGGGTGGTATTGTCGGTTCGGAATGTGGCAACAAAGTTTCCTTGGGCATTTACAATAGGGACACATGCAATAATCTTGTCCTCAATAGATGCATAGTTGGTGGATGGATCCGGATCAGCTGGAATGGTGATGTCAAGACACGAATAGTGTAGCTCAAAGGACAACCATGGATGCCTTTGAAGTTGGTGAGGGATTCTTCACTGGTACGGAAAGTTTTGTTCCAGTTGTTGCGGGTGATTTCAATATCAAGAGAACGGCTCGGTCCACTGCTTTTCATGATCTCTGTAGATCTCAAGTTCGTCATTTAGTACTGGTAGACCAATGGTCGGAACATCTGGATTGCAAGAGGTGCGGACACAATGTTTGAGGAGCCATGCAACATCAGTGATGTCTTGTTGCACTTGGAATGGGATTGCGTGGCCATTCTTGCCGCCTCCTGGGTGTCAAAGGGTCTTGACAAGTTTACTGACAGTGTCAGGCTTGATCTTGGTCAGGGTTGAGGTACTGTTGATATTGTGATCGTCCAAAATGGTATCAGCAACTGCTTGAGTCAAGCCAATTTGGACAAAGAGTTGTTGTAGGATTGCTGGTTTGGCCATGGTTGATTCAGGATGGGTTGCGTTGCGTTGCGAGTTTAAACTGATGTTTTGCAGTTTTGTTGTGAAAATGGATTTTTCTGTCCCCACAGATGAATTTTGTGCGGGTTTTGGCAAATGATTTGAACGTTTGTTTGGCTTGAGCGCGAGTCGGGGTATTGAATAACAAATTTATTTTAACGGTCCTTTGGGCCTTTTGGCGGATTGAGATTGCTGATATATAAATAAATGGCAGATCTTTCTCCCTCCAAACAAGCTGCGCATTGACGCGTACTGCTAGGGCTGGATCCAGTTGCCTTTGGCTCTCCTTTGAAAGCGACGCCTCAAGGTTGGATATGGTCTGATCTTACACTTAATAGAATGAAATGTATCCTATGCGCACCCATTGTATGATCGGCGATGTTTCATTGCCAATCAAGTCTTGGACTGGAGATGTGATCACTGCCGTGAAGCAATACCAGAAGGGGTTTGACAAGAGATTGTGAGTGGCATTTTGCTTCCATAGTGAGCTGTGAACATCTCTTCTTGCCATTTGGCTGGCTGCCCCTCTGGATGAACACCTGCAAGAAACCCCAGTGCAGTTTCTCTTGCCACCTCTGGTGACAAAAGGAAGGCGTTCGAGAGAGAAGAAAACTTTTTTTAAAAAATTTTATATATTTTTTGTGAGATTTTTAGTGAGCCTGTTTTGCCAGATTGAAAATCGTGTGATTGTGAATATTACCCCCCAAAGTTCAAGTTCATTTAACAAACTTTGGACACATATGAGTAAAAACTAATTTTTGGTCGCTTCTCCTCATTTCCCTCAAAGTCCTCAATTTACTCAAGGACTTTGAGTAAATTGAGGAGAAGCGACCAAAGTCCTCACTTTTGGTGGGTTCTCCTTGCTTTTGCCTGAGCCAATCAGATTATTCCTTGTTTGGTTTTTTTGTTAAGTATGAGTTGCTCTTTTTCTTCAAATGACTTCTGTTTTCCAACAATGACCAAAATCGCTTGATCTGCCGGTGTTGGTGAAGGCACACAATTGCCCTTTTCAAATCGTTTTTACTTCTTGATTCGCATCAAGAAGGTGATCTCTCCTCTTGAGACTTCCACCACAGAAGCTATTCTATCAAAAAGAGAAATTGGATCCCTTGCTCCGTTGAAAAACTCCTGACAACAAAAGGAGGTGAACAGGGGTAGCACAATCTGGCAAAACTGAGTGCTTTCTTGAAATAAAATACTCCAAATCAAATAGCAAGGGCAATAGGGCCGCACAATGCCAACACTCCACAATAAACCAAAAAACTCCAAGGCGTTGTGGAACCAAAACCAAAACTTGAAAATAACTTGTTGGGGATTGTTGTCAAGTTCTTTGCTGGAATTGAAAAGTATGGGTTGCTATGTAAACCCCAAAGAATCATTCAGTTCAAAAAGTGTTAGAATTCTGAGCTTGATGGGAGCTCAATAACATGAGGAAACGTCAAAAAAGCCAATCCACAAGTTGTTGTGTTTTTGTCTTTTGATGGGAGACAAATAAATTGGACAGAAATAAATGAATATAGAATTTGAACCTATAGTTGACTAGTTTCTACAAAATGATGGGTATCAAATCAGGTAAAAAGTATGTAGTGAGAAAAGCTATGATCCATCACTTTTCATGCGAATCCTCTGATTAAATACAGAACTGATGACTTAGCTCTTTTCTACGCTGAATGAATGGCATGTAGCGGTCTGTGCATGTATGGTGCGTGCAGCAGGCTACATTTCAACCTGGGAATCCTATAGGTCACGTCACGAGTCCCGTTCCTATTAGAATTCTTTCAATATTAATAAGTAAGACTGCTATTTCTACAATGAAGGTGATCAATAGTTCAAGATGTTCAAATGCTGTTATTGACAGGAGTCAAGGGAAGGCTAGAGTTAAATCAAATCCCAGTTTCTGCCTACACTTCTCAGCACCAATCATTTTCTTGACTTTAGGAGCATATACGGTTTCTTGTCAACAACCCCATAAAGCAGACCCCTGTCCAACAAAATTGCCCTCATTGCAACTGAAGATGGGGAAGATTCAGAAAGCGCTTTCCAGCGTCCTGACAAGCAGGATCTGAGGTGCATAATCTCAGGTTTTGTCCAATCTTCAGATATGATGTCTTCAAGAAGCATGGTGCATCGCATCAAGTCCCATGGGCCATGTGCTCTTTGCACCGCTATTCGCCACCGCTCTGCATATTCTGGCTTCCAGATAGAGTTCGTGTTTACTGAGCCCAAGGGAAGAGCAAGTTCTATAGCCAAAAGGGCAGCCTTGGTAACAGCAAGTACTCTGTCATCTGCACTTGACTGCGGAAATGTCTTTGATACCATTGAAAAATCAAGCAATGGATAGCTTCCACGTGCGCGATCCTCAGCATGCAAAAACTCACGTGCTCTCAAATCACAAAGCTCCTCAGGGAGACCATCTTGAAAAGAAACACGATTGCCACCGCGTTCCTGATGAGCACATCTATGATTCTTAGTTGTTGGAATGACTTTAGTAGAAATAACCAAGTCATTGTACCTACTGCCCCATCCCAAGTATGAGACCTTATACCTGAGAACTTCATTTTCCTGTGCTTGAGAAACTCCAATTACTTTAGCATTCCAGAGAACCTTTTGACACTTTGATTCTACCAGCACTTCATCCCCTTCTTTGTGCTGCTAAAGACAATTTAGATTAGTCAATGGCCCATAGCAATCTGTTGCTGAATGCACCTATACTCACCTCCTTGTTTTGGCAGGCAACAGGGTCACCAATATGGTGGTCCAAATTTGTGCTTCTAGCACTGTCAACTAGATGCTTCATATCAAAACAGCGGCTTTGGAGCCGATGGGACCACTTACCATTTTGGAGCAGTTGTCGAGCATCTGGAAATAATCTTTTTAAATAGCTTGTAATCGCATCTTTCTTGAGACAAACAATGACACTGGCGATACTCTCAGGATCCGCAAACCTTAGCCATCTGCCAATCTTGCTTTTGTCACTCCCAGAATCAACATTGTGACTCACAAAGAGAGACCCTTGATCTGCATTGAACTTCCAATACGATCTTCCAGCAGTATCACTACCAATTTCAAGGGTGCGTCCACACCTACTGCCTGTATCCCGCTCTGCTAGCCCTGATTCAGTTTGCTTGTGCTTTTCCACCACCATGAGCTTCCTTGCATTATGCACTGCAATTGCGCAGCATTCATGCGCTGACATTGACCCAGTTACAAAGGGGAAACTTGCTCTGTATGAAAAGGAAAGCTCTTCTTGAAAACCGACCACATTGCGTGGAAGAAATTCAATCATGCCACTGTCAACAATGTCTTGATGATAATTTGGATCCCTTTCATCTGGCACTATTTCTCCACCAAGTCGAACAGTAACAGCAACAAGACTATGCCTTTGGGCTCGTATTTTGCGCCCAGTTTCGCTCTGATTGGGGCTTCTCAACTCTGCAATCAGAAATGTTCTTTGTGATTTGCAAGCATGGGCAATGCGGTCACTCCATTCCTCTCTATTGGGCACCCGAACAAGGTGAGCACCCAATGCAGTATCTGGTAACCTGCAGAAGTCGCAAATATCGTCTTCACAACGAGATGACGACAAACTCAGACTTGTCTCATCAGAGACAAGTGTAGACTCAATTACTTCAGAGATGGTATCTTCACAAAAAGAAGCAAAAGTGGAGCGAAGCTGCTTCTTGATGCAGGAAGCAGCGATGAAATCTTCTCTTGACTTATGCCTTTGTGATTTTTCCAATATTGCGCTTGATTTTCTTGCTAATGTATCTTTGACCTCATGGCTTTCATCTCTTTCACTATAGGGAGATTCATTACAAGGAGTTAGTGAAATGTTGATATCAGCCGATTCCAAGACTTCCACAGCATTTGGATCAATAGTAATAGTAGCAACTTCAGGTATTGTTCCTATCCGAGATACAGTCATCGCCTCATTGCTCACACCATTCTTGCTACCACACTTCTCTCCATCTGTATCAGAGATTCCACAACCTTCAGTCTTCCCTCCTTGTACTACTTCTGGAAAAACTTGTGCAATATCATGAATTTGAGTCAAAGATTCTAATGATTTGTTCATTGCCTCTGCAGCCTTGTTCTCCATATCGCTGGCAAGGTTTTGCATTGTATCGCTTGACGCACACTTCATTGTCAGCAAGAGAAGGAGGCGAAGCCACTCTCCAGCAGTCATCTCCCTGTCATCCCCTACGAGCAGCGTCCCAGCAGCAGCAATTGAGTCTCGAAATACTGAGCTTGACAGAGCCACCTGGGCAGCACCATCTGACACATTTGGATTAAGGAGCACAGGAACCAGATCGTGCCGAAGTCCAATATCTATTCCATTGCCATAACCCACACTTTCTGCCACAGCTTCAAGACAAGCTATTTGTGGAATTGATTCTCCAGCACTGCTTAAGGCTGCATCCACGTCCTCAAGACCAACCATTTCAATTTTCCCAGCTTCAGTTTCCACTTCATACATCAAGGACGGACTGGTATGTTCAAAATGGGAGAACAAGCACCTAGTAACTTTGCAACTCTCCTCACTTCCTTCAAGGTGTAGTGTTTTTCCAATTCTAGGATCTAAATCTCCCCAGCATCTACCATCAACACAACGCGGGCAGTACCAGTCACCCTTTGGGATGTCAATGATAGGTGGGTCAAGTCTGCTCACATTGAAATTCCCTTCACAGCCATCACATAAGAGAACTGTAGCCTCAGTATCAGATGGGTGTGGATCAACACACATGTCATCATCAAGTCTATGGAGTGAAGTCAGATGATCGGGGGGGGCAAGAACCCAATCAAGAAGCAAGCGCTCAAATATTCGAAGCATCTCTCCCCCAGCACTGATAACTGTTGGGCCTGCATTTGCATAGGATAAACAGTTCCGACCAATCAAACGAATGTTTCTGGCAAAATGAGCAACAGCATTTTCCAAAAATTGAATTTTTCTTTCTTTCTCAAGAATGTGATAGTCTCTTGCTGCACTTTGTAGTTGGATTCCAACTTCTCTCATACACATGGGTTTCAGTAGCATATCATAGTAGCCAGGGTTGGTCTGCGGATCAACAGGGAAGATGAACGGCTCAGCTGCTCCTGATTGGCATAAAGTTCTTAAAACTGCAAGACACCGGCGGATCAATTCTGGAGCATCCGGTATGTCACAACAGAAATCATCATGTGGCGTTTCTTTCCCAATTCTTTGTTTCATATCTGCACCTGGGAATCTGTCCCCACTTTCCAAAAAAATTTCATGGGATACGCCTTTTTTCTCACTTGTGCCGTTTTCTTTGCCTTCGCTTGAAATTTCGACCGCAACAGTAGTTTTCGTTTCCTTATGTCCAATTTCTTCTTCTTCGTCGTCATCGTCGTCATCTTCGTCGCCAGCTTCTTTCAATTCCTGGCGCTTCATTTGTTCTTTCAACACCAATGCATCCGACATGTACTTTTCTCGCACCCGAGCCAAGTCTTTCAGGCCTTGGGGTGTTAGCGCAAGTGACTGAAGCGCGCCCATGGTGGATCGACTGAGCTTCTGATATTTTTGCGTTGGCACTTGCGTTCTGTTCTGTCGAGAGCCAACTCTTTCATTGAATCTTGTGCCTCCTGAATTTGGGTTTGCATCGACAACCTGAAATGTGTATTTTTCAAAGAGATCGAAGACTTTTTTAATTATTGTCGACAAATTGAATGGTTCGTCTTTGGAAATGCCATCTCTGGCTTCTGTCAAAATTTTCTTGACCTCATGAATAGGTTTGGCTTGGCTATGTCCATCAACACCTGGTGGTTGTAGCTGTCCCAATGCATTTTCTAGAAGCTTTATGTAGCTCGCTCTTCCTGTGCCTGTCTTCAGAGATAGTATATTGTGCAATTGGAACAACCAAGATGACAGATTACACAAAGGTTGGGAGGGTACATTGATCCTTATTCGACTCTCCTGGGTTATTTCTGCACTGAGGATTTCTGGCTGGTGTTTGGAAACCAGTGACTGTCTCAGAACTGCTATTGCAAAGTCCTCAACTCTTCGTAAACGACGGGCTTCCTTGGAATTTGGGTGCCCGGTGCTTCTGTAACCTCGAAGATAGTGCGCTTGCTCCTGTCTACTGTGTCCAAGCTCCCCAAGGGCGTCAGAGAGGAAAGCAATCCTTGCAATCTCTTTCCAAGTCAACACATTGACTGGTAACAGAACCTTGGGCTGCGAAGAATTCTGCAAGGCGCCCTTCACCTCGGTCGCACTCTGCTCGTTGAAAAAAGCAGCTCCAAAATCTTTCTGTAGCGTAGGGTTCAACGCAATCAGACTTGCAAAGAGCATTCGAGTTAATCCCGCAGATAACGGTTTGCACAGTGCGATAGCCAAATTTGTAACGAATGATATAGCCTCCCTTCTGTTTTGACCCGTTTTCGAAGTACGAAGCACATCAATTGAGGATTGCAGAGCATCCAGGGTTGGAAGTTTGTCAACATATCCCCTTTCAAGGAAGAAAGATCCAAAGGTGCTGATAAAATCCCAAATGCGCAAGACATCTTCGTCAAATGGTTTCGAAAGAGGCGGCAAAGGTGGCAAATCCCCAATGTCTGAGTCCATGGGCACACCAAGACTCCTCCCATCACCGATCTTCTGAGCCGCCACATGTTCCGCCGCTCTTCGTCGACGTCCCATCTCCTTGCCAAAACTCTTTGCCATCGCAAGGACAACTTTCTCACGTTGGAATGAAGCTTCCTTGAACATTCTTTCGTCAACTTGTACCTGAAGACGAAGAAGACGTTCTTCCGCACGTGCTTTCTTCTTTTCTTCCTCTTCCTCTAACTTTTGGCGCTTCCGTGCATCTCGCTCATCCTCTCGTTTCTTCCTTTTTCGCTCTTTTTCCTTGTCTTGGGATGATTTTGTCTTCTGGAATTTGGCTCTACTCAAACTCCTCTTTCTGTCATCAATTTGCAGCAACTGTTGCTCTTGTATGAAGGACTTGCTAATTGTGGAGAGTCCCGAACGACTTTCTAGCGGCTTGTAGGTGCTGAAGTGATCACTACCTGGAAGACCTTCAATGAGAGCTTCAATATCAGGATTGAAGAATGAGTTGTTCCTTTGCACAATATCTGCAGCAGTGACAATTTTTCGCTTGTTCCCTGTACTGGCCATTTTTGATTTCTCCTTTCGAACTGCAGCAGCTATCCATGACTCCTGATGAGAAATGCTACCTTCGAAGTTTGTGAATGGGTTGCAAGCAAGGGTACCAAGGAGCGAGATTCTTACATCTGCGAGGGCCATAGAAGCCGTTTTGTCCTCGCCATTTTGATTTTTCAGATTTTCTTTCAGTCTTGCCACATGTACCTTGAGCTCCATTTCTGCTGGCGACAATTTCTCTGCATCGATATCCTCATTCATCTCAGATAATTGTTCACATCCTGTTTTTGAGCCATGAGACCCTGCACTTTGACTATTTTCTTCTTCAACATTTTCATGTTTCAATGATTCTACGACGTCATCGTCTTTGAGATCTTCCATTTTTGTGCTCATTGCTTTCAACCCATTCTCCACAACAAATTCGTCTACGAGTCCCAGCTTTTGGATCACTTGACCCCATGCTTCCAGAGGCGATTTCCCAATTGCAGTGTGCACTGGTTTCCCCTTTAATTCCTTCAGATCAATATTGTCGTGATCCAATTCATCATCATAGCCTGCAGGAGCAATAAAGTGAGTAATAGAAAAATCCAAGCAAGTTACGAATCAATACCTACCAGGCATGACAATAGAAATATCTGGATCCGGATAGGTTGTTTCCTCCATAGATCCATCGTCGTATTGAATAGAAATTTCGAAGGCCGATTTTCGTCTCTTCTTGTTGTCTTCTGACTTTTCGAGGACAGTCTCAATTGTCCCATAGTAGAACAAGTCATTCTCAAATCTCACCCTGGCCTTCATTCCATTGATTGGAACTATCATTCCACGCCACGGACTAGCGGATGTTGTATTCGCCAAAGGTTCCTCACCCTGCAGTGGAGAGGATTTTTTTTCTGGGTCGTATGGATATTCAACTTGGTCAACATCTTCGTTTACCCCTTGTCCCCACATTACTCTAAAAATGGGTCCTCCATATTGCAATTTGGTTCGTTTTCCATCCAAGATGGTACACCGCAGCTTTATAACCCGGCCGTGGACAGGGCTGTATTCGTACCTATCACAAGAGAAACCAACAGGGTACAAGGCGCTCTCAGTTGAAAAAGTCTCTGTATTTGAGACATTCAATTGCCCAAAAGATCTGACAACAATGTTGTCCCCAATTTGAACAGGAACCGTGGGAACAGTGTCAACCAACAAAGCTCTCGCGGTATTAGAAAGCAAGTGCTGCTCGTGATTTTTGCCATCCACCCTGCCGCTATGTTTCCTCTTCTTGCTTGGGTGAGTAATTTTTTTCTTGCTTGCAGAATCGCTCGTTCTATGTGTCTTCTTCTTGGATGCCTTCAGTGAATTAAGTGGTTTATCGTCATCTTCGTCAAAGTCGCCGTCGGCAACAACTGCTACTGCTACAGCATCTCCGTTTCGAAAATCATCAGAATTGGTATCATTGTGCTCATAGTCTTGCTCACAGTGATGAACAACTGCGCCAGCTTCATGCTCTTCAGTGACATCGTCGCTGGTATCACCGACATTACCAGCATCGGAATCAGCTTCAGTCCCTTCCGAATTAAAAGCGTCGGCAAGATTGTCGGTCTCTTCGTCGCTTTCTGGGTTCGCTATCTCGCCGGGAGGGGGGGTCGCATCATTATCATTTGCCGAGGCAGACGACATGTCGCTTAAAGCTGAGTGTCGCTTAAAGCTGAGTGTGGTCAGTCCGTATTGCAAAGCTAGATATAACGAACACAACAGAAGCGAGCTTTTGCTTACACGTATGCCAAATCGTTAATAGCGTTGCTATAGGAAATTTCGACACAGCCTTGTTTCAGTTGATTGGAGCCGTCGAAAATGGAACGTGTCGTGCTGGGCCACGAAAACTGAAATAGACAAGGAAAACTTGTGACTATCAGGAACACCCGGCAAATGACGAAAATCCGTACCGCGCGGGGTCGACTGTGGGAATTCTGATGTCTTTCAATTGGCGATCCATGCCTTAAATATATTTCAGTTTTTAAACAATATCATTTTCACAGAACAACTTTATTTTCGATCTTTTCTGATCCTAATTCTGTAAATAACAACGGGTCATTTGATGGTCGCAGGGTCATTAAGAAAC